TCTCCCTCCTCTTTTTCCTCTTCTTCCCTCTCTCTCTCTCTCTCTCTCTCCTCTCTCTCTCTCTCTCTCTCTTCTCTCTATCTCTCTCTCTCTCTCTCTTCTCTCTCTCTCTCTCTTCCTCTCTCTCTTCCTCTCTCCTCTCTCTCTCTCTCTCTTCTCTCTCTCTCTCTCTCTCTATTCCCTCTCTCTCTCTATTCCCTCTCTCTCTCTCTCTCTCTCTCTCTATTCCCTCCCTCTCTCTCTCTTCTCTCTCTCTCTCTCTCTCTCTTCTTCTCTCTCTCTCTCTCTCTCTCTCTCTCTTCTCTCTCTTCTCTCTCTCTCTCTCTCTCTATTCCCTCTCTCTATTCCCTCTCTCTCTCTCTCTCTCTCTCTCTCTCTCTCTCTCTCTCTCTCCTCTCTCTCTTCTTCTCTCTCTCTCTCTCTCTCTCTCTCTCTCTCTCTCTATTCCCTCTCCCTCTCTCTCTCTATTCCCTCTCCTCTCTCTCTTCTATTCCCTCTCTCTCTCTCTCTCTCTATTCCCTCTCTCTCTCTCTCTCTCTCTCTCTCTCTCTCTCTCTCTCTCTTCTCTCTCTCTCTCTCTCTCTCTCTCTCTCTCTCTCTCTCTCTCTCTCTCTCTCTCTCTCTCTCTCTCTCTTCTCTTTCCCTCTCTCTCTCTCTCTCTTCCCTCTCTCTCTCTCTTCTCCTCTATTCCCTCTCTCTCTCTCTCTCTCTATTCCATCTCTCTCTCTCTCTCTCTCTCTCTCTCTCTCTCTCTCTCTCTCTCTCTCTCTCTCTCTCTCTCTCTCTTCTCTCTCTCTCTCTCTCTCTCTCTCTCTCTCTCTCTCTTATTTAAAATAGTATATTTTTTATATTGCAGGGGTGGAGTTATCAACAGCCATCAGTGTACCACCAGGAATCTTAGCTTTGCTGTTTCTGAATGTTTTTGGAAGATGGTGAGAGACACTGTAGAACAGCAGGCAGATGCTTTCAAAGCTACCCGTTTTAACCTGGAAACAGAGTGGAAGAATAATTTCCCCAGGTAAAGAACAGTTACTTATTATAAGATGCTTTTTTACTTGAGTAACACACATCATCATGGTTAGACTAAGAAAAGGAGCTTGATAGAATATATTTTTTATATATATATTTGTTCACATTCTATTGAGAATTGATGTATTTTCCTTAGGACACGAGAACTTGACCGGGATGAACTCTTTGAGAAAGCCCGAGGAGAAATCTTAGATGAAGTAGTGAACTTGTCCCAGGTGTCTCCCAAGCAGTGGGAGGATGCTTTGTCTAAAAAGATGTGGGACAAGATGGTAACCCACATATTTGAAAACATATATTTACCAGCTGCACAAACAGAAAATTCTGGTAAGTAGATTCAAGTAGTTCATTGCAAATCAGCTGATAGAGGGAGGGGCTTGGAGGCCATATTCTAGAACATTTTCTGACACTCAGTTTCTTGAAGATGATCAACATGAGTCCTAGTGCTCATGACACATGATTTTTTAAAGAATTGACAGTCAGGACCTAAGAAAAGTTTCTTGAGAGGGAAAGGAAGGGGGAAGAGAGAAGGAAAGGAAAGGGGTGAGGAGAAGGGGAGGAGAGAGAGAAGGGAGAAGAGGGGAAAGGGAAATAGAAAGGGGAAGAGAGAGAGGGAGATGGAAACACAAGAGGAAGAAGAAAGGGAAAGAGAGAGGAAAAGAGAGGGGAATGGGAAAGTGACGGGAGGAGAGAGGGAAGAGAGCAAGGAGGGGAGAGGTAGGAGGGAAAAGGGAAATAGTGAGATTTTTTTTGAAAGAGTAGGAAACAGATGAGAATTAGTGAGTGAAAAGATTAATGATTATTTGTGTATATGTGTTTCTATTTGGTTAGAATTCTGCTCCAGTTCTACTTCACTTGGTTTGTTCACTTTGAAATGTGTTTTGATACATTGCTAATAGTTTTCTTAATTGTTTCTCATACAGGTACATTTAACACTACAGCAGATATTAAGCTCAAGCAGTGGGCTGATGGTATGCTTCCCAAGAAATGTGTTGAAGTTGGTTGGGAAACACTGGAAGATGAGTTCAGAAAGTTCATGGAGAGAGCCAAAAATTCAAAGGACCATGATGACATTTTTGACAGCCTGAAAGCCTGTGTTGTAGATGAGGCAATGAGGCGCCATGAGTGGGAAGATAAGGTATGCATTTTTTAGATGTTCATTGGATATCATGAATACATAGTTTGTATTTAGGTAGGGGGGGGGGTCTGTTTAAAACAGATTTTGGGAAACCCATTCACTACTACTAGCATTTTTTGACAGTTAACATAAAACATATTTACTTGATTAATGTTTACAAAAGAGGCAGTTACATATAGTTGAAGTTAAGTATTATTAACCCAGTGCTGCCGGGTAAAAAAGTTAGGCAAGTTGACATGATAATGGGATTGTTGCACACATCGGCAGTTTCCCCTGTTTGCGCCCAGCTCATTTGGAGTTTTGCGAGTGACATTTCGCACCTAAAGCTTGTATTTTATTATAATTTATAAAATATAACTTTGAAGGTTTACCTTCATTATAGGTGTATTGCCTAAAATCTTTACCATATAAATGAAGCCACCCACTATTGGAGAAAAACAAACTCCGTCTGGCATGGGAATAATCATGATATATGCAATCCGTTTTTTCGGTCCACAACAGCCATGGCATGTACGTACATGCCAACCTGGCGGCTAGTAGTTACGTTATCACTCAGTAGATCATTGTTTTACATGTTAACCTACTCACTCATCATATATTTTGGTCAAACCCACAATATATATGTCATATGTTGTGTTTTTCATTACCAAAGAATGGAAAGAATTTAAGAAGGTTGTATAGTCCTGGCAGCTCATATTCTTTTGCATTATAAGAATTTATTGGTCTTCATTCTGAAAATATTTTTATTTTTAATTATCTTGTTCTTATGTATAATCTACACTTGCTATAAATAAGAACTTTGGTCCTACTTAATTTTGTTTTTTAAGGCTGCAGATGTGTTGAGAGTATCCAGCTAAATGCCCTGGAGGATAGGTCGGTCCATGACAAGCAACAGTGGGACGCAGCTTTGCAAATTCTTGGAGAATCGGTTAAAGATAAGCTTCACACCACTGAGTCTACCCTGAGGTTTGTTCTTTGGAGATTGGTCGGAGATGTATTGCTTTTGCCTATTCTTCTTCTTTTCTTTTCTTCTCTCTCCTCCTTCCTCTTCTCTTTTCCTGTCATCTTTACAAGTTCATTTTTAGTTGTTCATCTCATGCTCTTCCCTGCTCTGTAGTCATTTTTTATGCTCTTCTCTCCTCTTTTATTGCCCTCTTTCTCTTTCTTCCCCTTTGCCCATTTCTCCCTTGTTCTTGTTGTCCTCATCCTTGTTCTCCTTCTCCTTTTTTCTTCTTCTTCTTTTCTTTCTCTTCTTCTTCTTCTTTCTTCTTCTTCTTCTTTCTTCTCTTCTTCTTCTTTCTTCTTCCTCTTCTTCCTCTTCTTCTTCTTCTCTTCTTCTTCTCTTCTTCTTCTTCTTCTTTCTTCTTCTTCTTCTTCTTCTTCTTCTTCTTCTTCTTCTTCTTCTTCTTCTTCTTCTTCTTCTTCTTCTTCTTCTTCTTCTCCTCCTCCTCCTCCTCTCCTCCTCCTCCTCCTCCTCCTCCTCTCCTCCTCCTCCTCCTCCTCCTCCTCCTCCTCTTGCCCTTCCTATCCTCCTCTTCATCCTCCCCTTCATCTCCTATACTTCTTCACTTCATCTTGTCTTTTTTCTTCTTCTTCTTTTCTTTTCTTTTTTCCTCTGGTTTGTGTTGTTCTTTTATTTTTTTTTCATAGTTCCTCCTTTCTTGCGTGTTTTTTTTTGGCATGAAATTTTTCCATGGAAAGTTGAATGTATTTTATTAGGATTAAAAAGCATTTATGATATTTCTTCTCTTTAATCACAGGGAGATGGTTGGACCAGCACCAAAGAGCAGTGGATGTATTGTCATACCCAACAGAAGAGCAGAAAAGGAGAGCAGCAGTCAAATCAGAGCTTGAAAATATCCTGAAGTCTGACTATGTATGTTGTGAATGACTGAGTTGGACTGGTTAAGAATTTTGTAGATGTGTAATAACCAGTTCATAGCTGGAATTCCAGTGTGTTTTTAATAGAAATATTCCTCTATTTATTCCCAGAAACACAAAAATACCCTTACATATGATGAAGTAACCCAAGTCCGCAAGAATGCACAAGCCCAAGGAGTTGACGTAGACAACGAATTTATCCGTGAAACGTGGCATCCTGTGTACCGAAGACACTTCCTCAGACGTGCCCTAGCAAAGGCATATGACTGCAGGAAAGCCTTTTATGCTTACCATCAAGGGCTTGAGGGAGAATTAGGGGTAAGCAGTGTGTGTATATGTGAATGTAAATGTGTGATTAATAACTGATACACCTACTTTGTTAATGATACCACAATGTAGTAGTTGTGGCAAGATTAATTTGCTTGTTATATTTCTCTATGCATTTAAAAATTGTCATTTGATAAAGCTGATATTTTTACCTTAACAGAAAGAAACCTTTATTGAATATAACTAAGTTGTGGTCTGTTAATTTGCTTTGCCCATGACTTTTCATGAAAATTTTCTTCCTAATATTTAAGGTGGAGTGTAATGATGTAGTACTCTTCTGGCGGATTCAGCAAATGATTAGAATAACAGCAAACGCTCTTAGACAGCAAGTTATGAATCGTGAAGGTATGTCAGAATATCATATAATATTTTCAGTTTTAGGTATTATTTGTTTACGTTCTAAATTTCAGCAATGAAAATGTATATTATTATAATATATGTATTATATTAGTATTTGCCTATAGTCTTATTGCCTTGCTACCTGATGTGTACCAACTTTTTTTCCTCAGCACGGAGACTAGAAAAAGAAATCAAAGAAGTTTTGGAAGAATATGGTTGCGACCGTGACAAGAAAGAACACTTGTTGACTGGACGTCGAGTTATGTTAGCAGAAGAACTCAGTAAGTCATTTAGAATATTTAGCATTGATATTCTTGGCTACAAATGGCAACTGATAATGTATATATTACTCAGGAAAGTGTGGTGAACACAGAAAAATGCTTGATTTTTTTTTTTTTTTTTTTTTTTTTTTTTTTTTTTTTTTTTTTTTTATGCAGTATCATTAATTGTTTTACATTCTTTTCACGTTTTGCAGAACGAGTTAGACAGATCCAAGAAAAACTAGAAGAGTTCATCTATGCACTAAATGCAGAGAAATAATGCAGGAGAAGAAAGATTCCTTGACTCAAAAGAACCCAGTGAACTTATAAATGAAACTGTAGTGTGTTTCTAGTTGTTGGCTATTTATCATAGTGTGAGGTGAATAAACATTCTTGAAAGAGATCTCTTGTTCCAGGTGTCTTTCAAGTACTGTGGTGGAACATGGAAACTACTCACTCTAGCTTCACTATCAGATAGTGTACTGGCTTTGTATTTTTTTATTGGATGAGTTTGCTTGGTAGGGTTGTTAGTATTCAGGTTGCTAAAAGAAGACCCATGAGCTAACATCAAGCTTCTTAGCTGCTGTCTGCAGACCGTTTCTCTCACACAAAACTTTGTCCTTTTAAAGTTGGCAATGCAGTTACAGCATTTTCTTGAATTTGTGAACTTTCTTTGTCTGGTTATGAAGGCAGGCTTCAGATGGTTATTTAAATACAAATGTCAGAATAATATCTAGAGAAGGCTAATATATTCACATTTTATGACATGTAAAGCGCATCAGTGCTCTCAACATATTTAAATAGGCTGTGCTCTATGTTCCACACATTCTTTTGTTGGCATTGGGGAAACAAGTTAATAAAAGGAGCCTAAGGGACTTATTTAACCACTAAATGGAATATTGATATCTTCGTTATTTAAAAGAGAGTAATTATTGTCACATATTTAGAAAAAATATTTTAAACTCCTTTGGTGACTTTTTGTCACATTATATGTAAATGATATTGATTAGACTAGTCAGACTCTGATGCTCCTGATATAAGATTATCATTCCCCCTTTTAAGCACGTCTGGCATTCTTTGGGCAAGAGACTGAGTTTTTAAGGGGTCTGTACATAGTTTCTTGGTTATTCATAGATGTGTTTTAAATTGAGTAGTCAGACATCCTGTGGCTTATTGAATTTTAAAAGTGTATTAACAGCAACTTATTGTTAAGGCAAAATTTCCATGTGCTGCTTATGGAAGAAATGCTGTAATTTGAAAATCCGAAGTTGAGAAAAAAAAAAGGAAATCTTCTGACATAACTGAAATTGTAAACAAAATCATTGTGTTAATTCTTACTATAATCATATTTGTGACCACATTTAAATGAGGATTTCCAAAATGTATGAATCTGACATTTACATTACCTTTCCTCTGGCTGCATTTAAAAGTAAAACGCATCTGTTGAATATTTGCATATACTGTATGTTTGTAAATAAAATTTACCATGCTAAGTTGTTTGTATTATATCTTATTGCTGAAATGGGCAAGAATAGTTTCCTTTTTCTTGGTATGATTAATATTGTGTAATTTTTTTTTTTTTTTTTTTTTTTTTTTTTTTTTTTTTTTTTTTTTTTTCCATTTTAGTCTCTTTCTTGCTTGCAGCAATTAAAATATAAGCATCTCTTTTATATCACCACATTACACTGGAAATTATTTTCTAACATTAAAAAGGTGCCTATTAAGTACTGGATAAGTGAATATTCTTGTTTCATTCTATTCCACCAGGCACAATAGGGAAAACATTTTTTACATATCTGACAAAAGTTTATTTCAAATTTCATATAGCATAATTTTTTTCCTGTTTGGAGTTTAAAATTTGTCTGTTTTACTCTGATTTCCTGTACAGGGATTTCCACTGCCAGGCTTTGTAAACTGAATAATTAAAGGCCACTGAAAAAAGGTTTAGAAAAAAATATAGTCACCGTTCCACTATATTCAGAATTACTTAGTGAATTAAGATGGAGCAGTTACTTCTTGATAGTACTTTGATCATGTTAGTGATACTTTCCTTTAGTCTATTCTTTAAACTTAGTTCTAGTTCAAGAATATATCAATACACCTGGAATAATCACTCGTGGTGGAATGGATAACGAAACACACTTATTTTCCACCACTTTAATTATGCAACAATGCTATAGTTCAATATTTACACGGGTACAGATTCACAGGGCAATAATTGAGTGAACACGAGAGCAACTGGCTACTCGCCTGGCCTTACATACACTATTAATGCTGAATGGGGTAGCTTTACTAGCCTCTCACAATCCCCATAAAATCCACACTTGATCTTGCCTTAATAAAAAGATAATATCATTGCATGTCAATAACAATATATATAAGTATCAATATTAACAAACATATAATTGTTATCATTGTGACAATCACATGAAATATATACTCTAATATTATAAAAGGATTAACATAATTACTTGCTACCATCCCTGTGATGTGGAAGGTGCCCTATAACTTGTCAACTTGTTTATGCAGAACAACTATGGAATACTTATTTTTGATTCCCTGAGATAAAACGTACTATCATGGCAACACCACCTCACAACTCCCCCACCCCATCCCCAATACCTTGCCCGTTGTCGTGAGGGGCATAGGAGGCAAGTACTGGCACCCAATGCTGGAGGGCTCCCCTACCTTGGGTCTCAACTAATTCTGAACGGTCTTTTCGTTTCCGTCCCTTCTCTAACCTCTTCTACTATCTACTTCCAAAGGTGTGAGAACCACGCTGAAAGGATGAAAGGCTGACTTTGTGGCATTCCTAAACGGGCCAAAGGAACCATGGGCATGTTTTAGTGTGTCTAGCCCCTACCCCTACCTGTTTCTTCCCCCAACACAGTCTAGGCTTACCATGGCCAATAATGAAGACGGAATACCCTTGTTAGGGACTATGAGGCTTGCCCCTTCATGAAATAGCCCCACAAATTCAAACTTTCGGAACTCCGACTCCAGGCTCTCCTTTTAACACTGCAATTACTACCCGCTCCTCAATGCCTAATAATATATTATTCACCCAAGTCGAGACTCAACCTCCAGGAGACATTCCTACCCTCCCAACTTCCTCAACTTCATCACCTCTACCCCCACAACCTTCTTCATCAATCATCCCCATCCTCCCTTATTACTACTTTACAGCCTTACTACCTCCTCAACAATACTCCCTCTTCCACTCGTCCTAGTCTGTCTACCACCCCCATCTCTACAAATATCTTAAATTCTCTATTTAGCCCAACCAAATGGGACCGACTTTTGTGATCCCCCTACAGCTCCTTACTCACACAACTCTTCTCCTTCAGCAATCTTCAAAAACAAGTAGGCAAAGTCTCTTTCCGTAGCCGGCCCGATCGTTCCCAATCCGAAATCCAAGCTATAGCATTATCAACTCTAACTGATCTCTCTGGCAACCCCATTCCTGCTGAACCTCAACCAACCCTCAATATTTGTACCGGAAGATTGTCAGATTGAGAAGATTTACTCGCCTGCCTCACGGACTGTGATGTAATATCAGTACAGTGCAACTCCATTCCTCCAAGAGGTCATCGTAAAAACCCCGCCAACATTGCCAAAATTACTTTCCGTAGACATGACCTTCCTTTTAATGTTTACATTGGTAGTGAATTCCTCTCTGTCCGACCATATCAACCTCTTCCCCGTCAATGTCAAAACTGTTGCCGTTTTGGATATCCTGCCAAACCTGCCGTTCCACAGCCCGATGCCCCCTATGTGCCCAACCTGGTCATAACTTATCAAAACTGCTCTGCAAGTCACGCACGGGTGCTAATTGCGGCGGCCTCCATAATGTATTTAACGGGGCTGCCCCACCTGCAAGTTTGAATCTGAGGTGGTAACTCTCAGATACAGACTTGGTCTCACTCTGCGTGAAGCTAGACAGGAAGCATGACGACGGATTATCTCATACTCCTTACTCCAGTAATGCCGCTCGCTCTGCCCCTCCCCCTCCCTCCCAAGATGGTCCTATACCCTCTCCTATACCTAGTTACTTCCCCATTTCTACCGCCTACCTTCCCCAGTCAAATTCTTTTGCCACTCTAAATCCAGACACTCCAATATCTACTGCAATATCACAAAGTGACACCGAAAACTCTCATCCACCCTCAAATTCCACAACTCCTGCTCCTACACACTTAAAGTGACTGCCGATATCCATCCTCCTACTCATATTCCCCCTACACCCCTTCCTCCTACCCCCTCCCAACACAACCCGTCCCCCTCAACTCCCAACTACTGCCGATATCCATCCTCCTACTCATATTCCCCCTACACCCCTTCCTCCTACTCCCTCCCAACACAGCCCATCCCCTCCAGCTCCAACTACACCCACATTAACCCTCCTCCATCCCCTCTATCCCCTCCTCTCCTCCTGGCTACACACGTGAATCCCTAATGTCACAATTATGTCCTTCCCCAGATCCTCCTCCTCTTGATACCCCTCCTGATACTACAGCCCCTCTAATTCCTTATCTCACCCCTAACTTCTTCCCCTTCAAATTCTCCAACACGCATTGTAACTGTTATCACTCGTAGATCAAGAAAATAATAGCTCTCCTACATATTCGCGGTTTCCGTTCTCACAGACCTGACCGTCATATCCTTTCTCCTTATAACCCATCCAGTATGTGCCTCCAAGACTTTTCTTATACATCCTCCTGTACCAATTCAAAACTACCATTTTGTCTCTTCCTCACACTCCCTTCATGTCTCGCCTATACTCATCCATCAGAAAACACCTTATGTCATACCTCCCTTTCAAACCACTGTCCCGTGCACAGTTATTAGCATATTTCTTCGCCGTTGAATCAGTTATTTCAGTCTACTTCTCCTTTCCCATCCATTGATTCTGTTGCCCTTGAAACTTTAATTTCCTAACTCCAACCACCTTTCCTCGTAGTTGGTGATTTTAACTACCGGCACACTTTTTGGGATGATACTATTACTACCTCCAGAGGCCGATTCCTAGAACGCTTCCTCTCCACAAATAACCTAATTGTTCTTAATGCAGATCGCCCCACACACTTTCACATGCGCACGCAATTTTTTTCATGCCTTGATGGCTCTCTATGCTCCCCCTCTCTCCAGTTAGATTTCCATTGGTCAATTCTAGGCCACTTTGCCTATAGTGATCACTTCCAGTACTTCTTTCTCCAACTTCATATGTCCCACTTCCTAATCCCCCACGCTAGCGCTTTGATAGAGCTGACTAGTGTACTTTCACTTCACTCTCTACTATACC